GCGAGAAATGTTCCTGGATCGAAAGGTAATTTTAGTCGTATTTACATCGGTTTTTGAATTCTCGTTAATATTCTCTTATAATGTTTTTATTTGGATAGTTTATGTGATTGAATGATGTTGAAAATTGATTATTGTTATTTGTTATAAAAAATATTGTTGTGACAAAATTATTTTTTGTTATTTTATTGTTCAGATGGGAGTGAGGTTGATAACGATAAACAAATCGAGATAACACTCCCTGAATGTGTTTATTTGGCATCGTTTGTTGATGTCTTTCCGATCACGCCTAAATCCATCAAACTCTCTCAACCATCTGCGAGACAATTTTCGAACGATGATGTAAGTATTTTAGTATTGGTACATCATTCGCTTTTCGGCACCATTCTCATCCGCTTGCTGGAAAGTTTTGTTCGAAATCGAATGGCATACAAATGTCATCGAGGCAAAACCAAGTCATGATCTGTTTTTTGAATAATATTTGTAAAGTAAAATATTGAAGGGAATGTTGTTAGCATTACACGCACGTGCCTCGTCGATCTTGACAGCAGCCGAGTATTTGGACGGGTCAGGGTTGCACTGTTTCTCATTTGATGAGCATCTTGACCGATTCATATCTTCATGTGATGATAAGAGAACAGAGCGTGATATGAGCACGTCTAAATTCGACGATCGAATTTCATCGGACATTCAGGTAGATTGATTGATTTGTTGATCGGTTGATGTGATTTATATGTGCACTGATTGACAGGAAGTGGCTGACGATGAACGAGACAGGGTCGTGATAGAAGTACGACCGAATTATTTGGTACCCGATACGAATGCCTTTATAGATCATTTGGAATCGATTCAGCGCATCGTCGATAATGGCAGATATACTGTGCTCGTACCAACCACTGGTTCGTTTTTATTCTTATTATTATCTAATGCTAATAAGCATCAGCTTTTTTTAGTGGCATCAGAGCTTAGCTGTTTATCGAAGCCGGCCGCGACGAGACCAGCGATGGGCAGTGCTGCTCAGATGGGTCAGAGTATTCAGTTCGTGTCAATGGATCAAGAAGACGAGCAAGAGAATTGGGTGATGGAACGTGCTCGATCGGCAGTTGCGTTCTTGAAGAAAGCATCTGAACAAAAGACTGGCCACATTGCAACGGTGACCAGCAAAGGCAGCAGGCTACCATCTGTTTTCTTTGGTGCGGAGCAGTGTTCGAGTTCGAGTATCAATGATAAGGTTCGTTAACATGATTGCAAATTGAATGCAGATGCATTTTGTGAGTATGATTGCAGACGGTGAATGACGATATGATTTTATCGAGTTGTTCGGCGTTGTCGTCGTTGTTACCAAATCCGTTATCAGCATCCACTGAATCAGCAACAATCAAACCGTCACGTTTGTATCGAAGCGTCGTTCTACTAACTGATGATCGAGCATTGAGCATCAAAGCGATATGTGCGAACATACCTTGCAGAACCATTGCCAGCTTCTTGAAATGGGCCATTATTCAGTAGCTTTGAACATCTACTCTCTGTTGTCGATGGCATTTCGCGTTGTTGATCTACTTTAACTCTTGTTTCATCAGTTTAACGCATGCATTATTTGGAATTGTGTATGTATTTGTATATTATCGATGAGGTTTCGGTGTGTTCAGTTCATATTTGAAGTTACAGTGCTGTTTTCAACAGACCTTTTAATCAACATTCGCCTTGTTATGATCATTATCCTTATCCCAGTCCTTATTCATATGAAATCAGTAATTGTCTTTAGTTACTTTCGGGTTGATCAAGAAACAACTAACAGATGAGTGGTCGTTAGTGTATATCCTTCTTGTTTGTGACATCTATCCTCATTATTATTCTTTGCATTTGTTCAGACCGAACTACTTCTCATATTTATTGTTGTTGTTTGCGTTTTTATGGTGATTGTAAGTTACGTTTGTGTAATATGTATACTGCTTGCCGCTGTCTTATTACATGAAATTGACGTTAATGCGTGTTATGACGAGACCTCATTGTTTCTGTACTTATTTCATTTACTTTATTCATAAACATTATGTATCCTTTTAAAAGACAACTTCTTTGATAAGTTTGTTTCTCAAGTTGCCTTCCACTTCTTAAATACTGTCATCCTTTTTTACGCTTACAATTAGAGCTGTGCATTTATCTCTTATTGATCTTTGCCATCCTGATTAATGCCTTCTCTCCAGTACTCTCTTTCTAGCGATGGTATCCGACCGATGTCAGACGGGAAAATTCGACAATTTCGGTTGGAATCCCGACCGAACAATTTGAAAGGTTGGTCGGAATTCCGACTGTTGGAAATTCGAAATGTCAGTTAGGTCGGATTCTGAGCGAAGCATTCTGACAGTCGGTCGGAATAACGAAAAGTCATGCCGGTCCAATTTCGACCGACATGAAATTTTGTGCAGATGCCATCGCTGTCCCTTTCTCATCTGAGACATAGAATAAGCAAGAAGAAGTACAGAATGAAATATTCAGTTTGTGTTATTATTTGTTGTGTGGAAGGAAAGAGTTCACCTGTGAGAGAAACAAATTTATTGTGGGATACATGTAAGCTGACAGCATGAAAAGTAATATGTCAGGTGGGCATTTATTCAGAAATGAAGTGCTTTTTAAGCAGTGCGAGTGCTTTTCCTCGATGACTGATGCTATTCTTGAGATCCGGTTTCATTTGAGCATAAGTCTCATCAAATCCATCCGGTTGAAAGCAAGGATCCCATCCGAAATGATTCTCGCCTCGTGGTTCTACTATGCATCCATCAGTTCGTCCTGAACGATAATCGAATTTAGTTGTGGCGATCAAACTGAATGAAACGAAAGCATCATTTCCGAGTGATACCTCTGAAAAGAAGAACGGGTTTGTCTGGACCCTCACAAAGCGCGAATGTACATAGCGCATACGCAGTTTTATCATCGAATCCACTCAATAGCTTATGAAGACCTTCTGGTCGCAGATTTTTCAGAAACCTGAAATTGAGGATAACGCTGACGGGTTAACGGATTTATTTTGTTACAGGCAATGACTGTTCAATAGGTGTAAAATAGTGACCATTTAATGTAAGGTCCAGGTAAACCGCCGAGTGCATTGAAGCAGAGACACGTATCCTCGACGATAACTTCAGATTGCAGCTGTTTAGCTGCATCTGCACATTTCTTACGTGCGATTTCATCTGGCTCGCCTTGATATTCTGCTAGATCTAGATCCACACTCTCGACCTGGAATCAAATTTTCAGCACAGGGTTGATGTGGCTGTCGAAATGGATGGGTAACCTCGATGTGCGGTGACAAGATAGCACGCACTTCTCTTAGTTTATTTGCATTGCCCGTCACGAATTTCAGTGTTCTTTTTGTGGCCATCAAGCTGAAACATTGCAAAGTTCTGTGAATTCCATTCTTAAGAAGATTTTTTTCGTAGAAAATGATGAAAAAAACGTTCTGCATATGTATATGTCAGTATACATTAACGATCGCATAATGAACTGGTCTGGGA